TTTGATTTTCATGGAATTATTTTCCAGCAGCTTGACTGCATTGACCTTTCTCGATTTTATATATATACATATACATAATTATTCTAACCTGAATTGTTGTCTTCATCTGCTTCATTAACTCGAACATCTGTTCTGGAGGTAGAGAAGCTACAGCTTTACTTATTGCTTCAGGTGCTTTTTCTGCTTGAATAGGCTCCCCATAAGGATTTTCTACAGGTGGCTGATTGAGCAGATTTTGCATTTCCATTCTAGATTTTTCTGTACAAGCATTATCAACTCTCAAGTTACGACCTCCTATTTCATACCCATTCAAATTTCTCATTGCACTCAAGGCGGTTTCTTGATCCCTATATTCACAGAATCCATAACCTTTTGGTTTACCAGTTTCACGATCAAAGACAAGTCTGTAACAAACAATATCATTTTGTAGTAACTATTATCAAGACAAGTATGTTTGAATGTTTCCCTAAAAAAGGCTTTTTGTGTCAAGAGTTACAAACTCAAACAGTAGAGTAGCTCTCACTAAATCTGAAGAATTGTTTATGAAAAAAATGTCAACGCAGGCCGCAAAAATCAACAGCTAATCCCTTATGAGAGGTGTGGAACCTTATATAAAACAATTCGTCTATAAAAGAACTTTGTACAAAAATTTTAACTTTGAACTGGGGCAACACTTCCTAGATAACCCATCTCACGTTCAATCTCCACTTCAAACTCATACCATGTTTTGATTTAGTCGAGATCACGGTACGATCTGATCTTTTTGGGAGACGCTGCACTCATAAAACATATCTTCAAAGTTTAGAAGAGAATCATCCGATGTATGAATAAATCTCGTCCATTAAACTATAAATATTGAATTTTAATATTTTCATCAAGGACCAAGAAACTGCGTGACAAAACACTATGAGAAACATGATCACAACACAACTCTTGTTTGAGTGTAGCACATTAGGATCATTAATAATTGTATATTATCTTTTAATTTTGCACTCAGTACAGCGTGCATCTGCACTCTTTTTGACCTATCATAAATGTATTGAATGCATAACATGATTTAAAATAAATTCAATGTTGTCCTTATTTATACCATAGATACCTCTGCTAGGTACCTACGTCTTAACTGTCTTAAATTGATTTCACAACGTTGCCTCATCTAATAGTCAGGTGAATCGGATAAATAAAATATTATTTCAACTGGCTATATAGTATACTATTAGGTATTGGTCCACCATCGTTATTCATAATATTATTGTTTACTTATTTCTACACTCTCATAGACATCTAGATGCCTGTTGTTGTTAAGTTGTCCAACTAATTTTAGCAGAGGCTAATCTAGCAGAAGTATCTATGGTATAAATAAGGTCAGCTTTATATGTTTATTTAGTTTTATCTTCCTCTTGAAGATGATCACTTGGTGATCGAAACACATATTGAGGTGCTAAAAATAACGTTTTAGTGTTGGGATGAAACTCCAGCTACATCAGAGGTTCCAAACAGTCCTTTTTAGACTGTTGTTATATTTTTACTAGTCCAATGAGTTTTTTTCTGCATATGTGGCGTTTGTCATTAAAATAAGTTTTGACTTAAAAATGGTTTCAGAAACTTGAAAGCATGCTCTTTCATGTGAACTTCGTATGTTCAGAACCAATCGCTGAAAAAAGGTACAGGTTACAGGTATGACAGATTCTTCAAGTTCTACGATGCTTGAACTAATCAGTTGGGTATAATTCAAATTCTCCTCAAACTCAGCATTCTNTGTAGACTTATTTTCATTTGAGTTGATTTTATTTTATTTCATTTCAATTCATCTCCTTTGTTACATATCGCATTGTGTATCTCATTGACCGCTTTGAACTCTTTATCAAAAACCTTTTGATTCTTTTTAAAATTGTCACTCGACTTCATTTTAATAAAATTGAACTTATGGGAATTGATAATTCACGACGAAATTCTCACGAAAATTATGAAACTGAAAGGAAACTTTTGTAGTAATAACATAGAAAATCCAGAAATGAAAAGGTTAGTTTAGAAAAGATTACTTCAAGATTGAAGGAATGACATTTCTGATCCGCAGACTAATGATATGAAGACCTTACATCCCAAGAAAGGAGTGGGGTGTGAACTAATACACTGCAAAACTTTAAACGCATTTTTTTCTAAAACTTGTTTTCGTACACTATGTACCGTTTTTCGGTGAACACCACATGTTTCTATATACCTACACGTCAAAAATTTCGAGTAACTAATAAATTATTCTATAATATTTATTCTATTCTACTCTTCCTCAGCATATGCCAACTCGTTTTATAATGGCTTCTTTACCCTCAACATTTAATATGCTTCCTAGACATAACATATTAGTTTATGAATTCTGTGATCTGAAGAATGTTTGCAAAAGTACCTCTAAAACCAAAAACAATTTCATCGACAATCAAATCAATTTTTGTAGTTCTGTAGCATTCAATGTAGTGATGTACCGAAGGTGGAATTCAGCCGGAGGCCGAAGTCAGTAACTCCGGCACTCTTAGGCCGAAGTTACTGCCGGAGGTAGGCCGGAGGCTGTCAATTGTCATTAAATCAGGTGCCTGAACGTCAAAAATAGGGGGCACTGAAATGTCAAATATTTTGGTGTGAATGCCTATCTTCGTTTACNAAAATAATAACAATATAACCAATGGGAGCTTATTTTTGGCAATTTTTCAAAAAAAATCCCATTTATGAAATCAATAAACTGATAATGAAATAATCAGTAACATATAAGGAAATAAACCCAGCATACTTATCAATTTTCATCTCCGCCGATTTTGCTAAACTGTAGAAACATTTCAATATTATTAATATAACTTTACAAAATCAGAATGAAGGTTAAAAAGTAGCAGTAAATATCTCAATGAGTCAAGATGATACAAACACTGATTACTACTAATGAGCATAATCAGATTATTTATACAATCGAATAATCGGTATCCCAATATTTTACTAAATGGATAAGTCAAGTAACTATCCATTTAAATGGTGATATGAATAAGGATCTCAAAGTCTCAAACTGAGGGTTAATTTATGTGAAACAACAATGAGATGTCAAAAACGTAATCATTAATAAAAAAATTAAAAAATCAGCACACTAAATTAAATTTAGATAATACCACCATCTCTGATCCCCTTGAAGTTGGAAATTTTTTAAAAATTTACTTCAACGGCTTAGGTTAGACAATAATTTCCGAGTTTGATATACAGGATTTGAGAATATTCCAAGTTTGTCGTATAAACTACGGTCCGAAAATTTAGGAAAATATGAGGAATTGGAAGTTTTAAAAAAAAACATGGAAATTGTTCAATATTTCAGAAACCATTTTGGATATTTCAGTAATATTTGGTTGCAGTGAGACTTGAAAAAGCTGCATTTTTTGTGCAAATAGAATTTTTCAATTCAACAGTGCATGTATTTGGCCATTAACTTCAATATTTCCTGCCATTACGTTAAATGTTTGTGCCCAAATGAAAAAGATATAGACTATCATCAACCGTCACTTTAACAAATATCACTGAAATATCCCAAATGGTTTTGGAAATATTAAACGACACCCATTTTTCTTAAAATTTCAATACCTTGTATTTTTGTAACAAAACATGTTTGGATCTAAGTTTATATAGAAACCCATCATTATTTCTTCATACAAATTCACACCCTTGAATATTCGCATATCAATACAAAATAAAAATATGGTTTCAGGGTAGATGATTTTGAAAAAGTGTTCATTAGAGAAAAATATTTTAATGTTGTGTTTTAGTCTTCCTTATATTGATCACCTTAACACATTGAGATAATTAGCATATGAAATATAAAGAATATCGTACCTTTCAGCCACCGGTGGTGGCAAAGGATTCTGTAATGGTCCAGGAATCTGTCTCATATCCTGATCCCCTAATCTTGTCATTCTTAGATCTGTCGAGCCTCCAATAGATCTTAGATCTATGTCTTGACCTGAAAGAGCCTTAAAGTTATAACCCGACAAGCAATGTGTTCATTCTATAATTATTTTTTTATTTGCATTATATCCATTTTCCAATCTGAGAGCTAAATGGCAGTGAATTACTGACAGTTCTCACAAAAACTGTATCAGTAACATTGAAAATAACATCCGAAAATCCTAAATATTTTTGCTGGGTTGTGAATGGAAATGAGAATCGTTATAAAATACCTGACGTCATGTATTACAAGTTAGCAACAAAAGATCTAATATATCAAATATTTTTGCATTTTTGTTCAATAGTTTACTGTAATCATCCATTTGATTATAAAATAGTTATACCAGAAATCACTTATTATAGAACCGTCAATATGACTGAACACAAAATTACACTTGCAGATGTGTTTATCGATTTGAAACGATGCCCATCAAAATTGCTATTTGATCTAGATGGTATTCCTTTAATAAGGGATGCATGTATTCTGTTATCACACCTATTCACCTATATTTGTTCTGACTTTTAGGAACATGATTCCATACCTTCAATTTTAAATCAGAAAAAAAGATAACACTAAGTGGGGCGATGACAAACCTGTTGTTTGTTATCCGCTTCAGCCTAGTTCGAGGAATGATACTCTGAAAGAATTAGTTTTTCAATTATCGGAAATCATCGACTTTATGTTGATGATAGACACTACCTTGCACTAACGAGTGGCCAAACAGCCTGAAACCAAGCCTGCAAGTGTGTTCCAATAATTAAAAATCTTTGTTTGAAGGTGATTGACAATGTTTCAGGATGAATTTCACTGGTTCGGACTTCCATTGTCTACTATATAAAATGATTTGAAATCCCTGAAACAANGATAGGTGTCAGTCCATCAACCTACAGCATAGGGAGTTGAGACTGGCCTGAACGAATTGTTCCTTCAGATGATTCTCAACAGAAGCTTCAACTGTTTCAGAAAGCATGAGCATGTGGTGTGAAGAAAACAGGCTCAAGTTGAATGTCGAAAAACGGGCCTAATAACTTTCAGTAAAAGAAAACTTTGAGGAATCCTCATATGTGAAACTCAAATGAAAATAGATTCCAACATCAGATCATATAAAATTCCTAGGCATTATACTAGATCCGATCCTTAGCTGGGAATCACACATAAACATCTTGAATACTAGGCTAAACTCCATCTGTGGAGTAATACAATATATACGGGACCAAGTATCTGTCAGTCGTTTGAGAACATATTACTCATGTTCAGTCAATTATTTCCGATGGAATCATATTTTGGGGCTATTTAACAACCTACAAAGAATATACCTAACACAAAAGAAAATTAAAAGATAAATTGATGAATGTAGCATTTACTACGTGGCAGGAAATCATAATGAAGAAAATAGAAATGAAACTTTCTATGTATTAAAAGATGTATATTAAAATTGGATTGTAATACTAGACAGTGCATTTATTGCATTTCCTGGGCCTTGTCAAGTTTGTAAAGAACTATCCCCACCTGTTTCCTTATCAATATTCTTCAAATATGAATCTCAACACTAGGCATCGAAATGAGCTATCTGTCCCTTACCATAACTCAACATATTATAAGAAAGGTCCACACTACCAAGCAATCAAAGCATATACCTCACCACCTCAAGTACTGAAAGATATTATGGGCCTGAAGAAGTTGAGAAATTCTGTCATAAGTTACTTGAATGTGTTGATGGTTTTGCAATAAAAGTAATATTATTATTATCATCGAACGTGTGTTCATAAATACAAACTTATGCATATATTTTTGAATATACCAGTGTATTATTAGGTAAAATTATGTATTTGTTATATATTATTATATATGTAGTGTTACTCTTCAAGATGAAGCCATTAGGTTCAAGGTCCCCCAGGACAGATAACTTTCGCCTTGATGGATAGTTTCCTCGATATTCACGACAGAGGAGAGGCAGATCTGCAGGATTACACAGACGACCTTGTCGTCTTGACCATAAAAACGTCGAGTAAGGTAGCCTCTAGAGAACGACGATATTTATAGTTGGTGCCAGAAGATTGGCGAAAATCAAGCACCCACATAAATCAATAAAAGTATTATCGGATAGCCAGGCTGGTCTAGAAACCCATGTCTTTCACAAAGCAACATCAAAGTTGGTAGTAGTTTGCCAGGACACTCTTGGCAATATTGTCCTGGAAGGTAATGAAACCGCTCATTGCCTTGCAAAGGGAAGCGGCAAATAACCGATAGACTGTAGTCCTATGTTGTTCAAGAGGCCTACTTACAGATCACTATTGTGTGAATCCAGCGTGCCATCTCTGGTCACTAACGAAATAAATTAATCGGTTCACTCGACTTATTTGGTCAAGTTGTGTGAGCCATAATAAACGGGTTGCAGCTAGCAATAGAGGGCCGAACAGACCCCTCACCTATATTTTATAAATAAATAAACAAACATATCTAGTACTTAGTCACCTGTGAATGTTTGCATCATGACAATGTAAAAGTCAAGATCTGTGATATAAATATTGTTTCCTTACTTGAAGTGGTCTTCAGGTAATTTTGAGGAAAAAATACAATTATTACCTGCAAACACTGAAGGCTGGGCACTTGGATGTAAAACTGGCGCTGGTACTGGCTGAAATTCTTGCCTGGGCGGCTGTACTGGTGCAGGAGGTTCTCTATATTGATTGCTAATTGGAACCTGAACTGGAACATTCTTATCACCAGGCATCAGAGTCGCTGGAACTTGATTGATGGGATGCAATAGGCTCTATAAAAGGAGTCTAAGAAATATTTCTAAAGGAGTAATAACATAACTCACAGCTGCTGTTTGCGGATCGATAACTTTCATTACAACTTGAGCCTGAAGAAGAGCGTAAGCCAGTTGAGGATTCTGCAAAAGCATCTGCCTTGCTTCTGTTGGATTATTCTGAAATATATTTCTGAATACATAAAAATTTACAAATTAACCCATTATTTTTTACGATCAAAGTACTGAAAAAGATGTGGCTAGTGCTCCGTGCAATTTTCTTGGGCCAATATCAGGTTCGTTCCAACCTTGAGTCACAAACAGATTTCCAACTGTTTGTAAATNATCCAATATCTAGAAATTCAAATATTCCAGTATGGGGGACATTAGACTATAATTATAAAATGAAATGTACTTACCATATGAAATACACATAGGTTATTAGTTTTGAAAAAACTATCTGTATAATATAAAAGACTTCAAATTATGGAATATTTTGAGTTAATGAAGCACAACTTATAATTGATTTAGAGTATCCATGGACCAAAAGAGTCTTTCTTCAAAAATATGATACTTCTGACCCATACTTGATGAAAATCCATTATAATTTATTCAAGAAAACAATTTAATGTGAGTTTTCCGCTTGAATGATTATACAACAAAATATAGAAGTTTTACAATAAATAACATTATAATTAACTCATGTACATGTACATTATACATAACATCTCCTTTTTGGAATGGAAAAAGTATTGATGATGTACGTATGATGGTTTAATGTTCCTCATATTTTGACTTCATTTTCTTACACATAAAAGGTGACTTAACAAATCAAATTTCAATTATTCACAATTTGAATCCAATTTAAGAGCCTCTGGTAGACAGCCATTTCAGTCTGTTGAACATAATCAGTACAGGGCAGGCAGTCCTGGAATCAAGAGAAACCGTGAAAGAACTAAGACCTGTACTGCCCAGTGATCGCACAGTGATATCATCATCAAGGTCTTGACGACCAGCTGTCGAAAGCGCTCGCGACTACTAGTATATTATATATAAAATTGGATTGTAATACTAGACAGTGCATTTATTGTATTTCCTGGGCCTTGTCAAGTTTGTAAAGAACTATCCCCACCTGTTTCCTTATCAATATTCTTCAAATATGAATCTCAACACTAGGCATTGAAATGAGCTATCTGTCCCTTACCATAAATCAACATATTATAAGAAAGGTCCACATTACCAAGCAATCAAAGCATATACCTCACCACCTCAAGTACTGAAAGATATTATGGGCCTGAAGAAGTTGAGAAATTCTGTCATAAGTTACTTGAAGCAGAAATGCTATTATTTTTTCAATTGTTGGNAATTCCTTCATGGAAGTTCTTTCTATTATTTACCTACCCATTAGGTCCCAATTACAATTGAAAAATAGAAAGATTAAAAACAAAATCTCAAAACTAAAATGAGGTAAAATTAAAAACCAAAACAACTACAATGCAATACAAATATATAATATAAACATATACAAATCTAATGGAAGTCAAGTTAACGTCTTTTTTCAGTCTCGCGAATAGCTGAAGATATCTACATTTTATAGCCCTGTCCCGTTTCTCAACATTCGAGTAATTGAAGAGGAAAAAAAACATTATTAGTATATACAAGAAATACTTAATTGTGAGAATTTCACTAAACAGTGAGAATCTTTGGGATCCATAGAGTCCCACAAGTAGCTAGGGAAAGGAGATCCATCACGGCAAAGCCCTGCATTACCATGACAAGGTTTTATACGATGAGAGTGCTCAGAGTATCTCAAAGGTTTTGTTAGAGAAACTGATGGGCTCAGAATATCATACATCGGAAAGGTTACACACACCTTAGGATAAATCCATTATTGGAATGCCATTTGATCAGGAAATAATAGCCCAAGAATGATTCCCATATCCAGCAATGTTACAAGGAAGCAGACACCTGCATCCTTACCATGAATGAACTAAAAGCCCTATGTAATATTTGAACAGAAATAAAGGAATATCTGGTCGATATTCCAGGCTACCGTCTTATAAGTAGCAACTTTGCAACTCAGTTCTGCAAATCATTTGTGTGGGAACGATTACTCAAATCTGTATTCTTCAGTAAACAGATCTAAGAATATGTTAAGTTTAAAAAAAAACAATTTCTCGGTAGAACCTAAAAATGTTTGTGTTGGCAAAAAGTTCTGAAATACAGTCAATAGTGAATCATAGAAAATGATGAATATAAGAGATATTTTTCTCACTGGCTTTCTAGTATTTAGCAATGGATTTGAAAATCGGTGAACCATTTCGAAAGTAATTAAGAAACTCCTCGTACATTGAACTTACTTGAATGATAATACTTGACCAACCTCACCAAATATATCTTTCAACTTTTCTTCAGTAGCTTCATAGGGTATGTTTCCAACTGAAATAAAAATATCATCAATAAAATTTCTAGTTGAAGAAAATGCGATTTTTATTGTACCAAAAACAGATCTCATGGACTTGTCCATTATATTTGCTTCTAAATTATCCATTTTTTCGAAGTTCACTTGTTATTTTCAACCAATAAAAGTTTGTAAATTGAAAGTAGCTCTAATGATAAATTCCAGCTTGTTTATGTACCTAAATGTTTACCGTTTGCGGTTTTAGAGATTGAAATCTTCTTCTTTTTTTCTCGACTTTTGGGTTTGGCATCTAGGCAATTACCCAGCTTCAACAAAAAAGCCTGTATTTTGTCTTCTTATTTGATAGGAAGATTTTCGACCTTTTACTCTTTTCCACACCAGATTTGTTATATTTTTCCCATTTTCTTCTTTTGTTCGTTCTTTTTCAGTGTCCAACTAGCTATTGGGGTTTTGGAAAATACGTATAAGGATTGAAAAAACACAAAGGAAAGTGAATGATGATGTAACATATTTAGGAAAATTGAAGATTAAGGTATGTAGACTTATTTTCATTTGAGTTGATTTTATTTTATTTCATTTCAATTCATCTCCGTTCAATTTTCATTCTATTTTATTTTGAGCCCAAATCGTCTTTTTTTATCTGAAAGTCATTCATGTACACATTAGCTCTTATTTTTTGTTTATTTTGACTACCTTTCCTTCATCTTCATCTATTTCGAATACTTGTATTTGAATACTGAATACACTTGTTTTCTTAGAAACCGATGTTATCCTATTCTTCGTAGACATATTTTTAGTGATGAAGAATTGATTTAATATGCTCTAGGTAATCATGATCGAATAAGTATGGTAGTTCTCACTGGTGATCATGTCGGGTATATAAAAATCAGAGCAAAGAATGATCTTGATCATGTCGTGATATTTTTGAAAATAAAGTTTGTGAAGATCAAACCGTTACGTGTAGTTTGTGAAAAATGAGAATTAAAACTTTTTATGTTTCTATACCATTTATATTCGTAACTAACGTTACTGTAATTTCGTCCTACAAAGATATTTTCAAACGGATACAATATTGTATTCGTTTTGCATATTCATATATCTATATTGTATATCCGTCCTTATAGGACGAAACTTCAGTAACATCAGCTACAAATATAAGTGGTACAAAAACATATAGTACATATGCATTTATATGTACCAGCTGTTAATTTTTGTAAAATCGGATCCGCAACCTTTTACCTTCTTAAACAAAAATAATTACGGCACAAGAAATTCAACATTGTTAGAAATACCAAATCATAGACTGGCTAGATCAGAATCAAGTCCAATTTTCATGGGTGTCAGGCTATTTAACAAATTGCCAAATCATGTTAGAAAAATGTCACTCAGAAAATTTAAACCGTTTCTAAAAAACTTTCTGATTGATAAAGCCTACTACTCCATTGAAGAGTTTATAAATGACTTATCAATATAACTGAAGAATTGAGATTGTCATCTAGGGTTGTTAATATATTATAATTTTACCTAGTTATAAGTTTTAATATATAATTTTACATAACTGTTCATATCCTATATGTACATAATTTTTTCTTTTTTATAAGTTTATTTATATCATATTACACTGACTTGTTCTATATCATTGAGTTATGATCCAGAAGAACCAATAAAATATTATTATTATTATTATT